AATAAAAAAAACGAAACCAAGAACGAAAGAAATAATTAGATTCTGTTAATGACGTCGCCGCAAAGCAGCAGTGAAACATTATGACGCATGCGCAAACGCAGGAGGGTGTCTTGAAAAAAAAATCGACTCGATACTTACGTCACACATCCTCGGCGCTCATTCCTCAGGGTGCCCAATGTAATGGGATTATTTTTTCCTCCATTGCCACAGCAACCCATACTGTTCCTACGCCATTTTCATCACAACAACTGTCAACCTCGTTTTGTCCGACTGTCGCCAGGAACCTGATGATCGATATTATTCGTATCGACGATTAATCATCAATTACGCTTATCATTATAAAGACAGGGTGCGCTATTTAATTGAAAATAAATCATCATATAAAGAAAAACAAAGATTATTTGCTTGATTGTTTTTCGTTTAGCGGCATATCAACATCTATGGGGGTTTTAAATGCCAAACTCTAAATATTTTGTATACAATATCATTTTTTATTTTTTATATATAATAACGGTTTTCGTGATACAAGTCCTACTAATTAACCCATAGGTGGGGGAGGAACAGGTGGATTCATTCCTTTCTCAATCGTATTTGCGTGTAAGTGAATAAAACGAACCCAACTGGAATTGGAACTTGGCTCTCCGATTAACAATTCCGAGCAATTATCCATTGTACCACACCAAGACGATCCTTAACAGAGGCCTATATAGCGCGTGTTGCTCTGCAGAGACTGGGGGCCAACTGTCAACATGCTAAAATTCGTTGCTGGGATTGAATGAAGAGATTAATTGTTTTTTAAAGAATTTTTTACTTTTTAGAATTGGATTAAGTTTATTATTCAAGATAACGAAGTAAGCAATATTTATTTATTTTATATAGACTTGTAATATTTTATCTTTAAAAAAACTTTTTCTGTAGAAAATTCGCAAGTGTCATTAAGTCAAAAGTTAATATAAATTAATATTTTTCTCTCTGCTGTTGTTGTTCAACCTTGACGATATTAAGTATAAAATTAATTTTTTTATGAATAATTTATGTTTGAATTTAACAGAACAAACAGGTATTTCATTTAAAGTATGTTGAATTTTTCTCTCATTCGTAAATAAATCGAAGACAAAGTTAACCTTTTTCGCTGTGAAATTAATAAAAATGATACCTATTTACAGAATTTATCACTAACTTAATGTCAAAAATTAAATTCAATAAATTTAATATCTTACGACTATTAAATATATACCACAAAATGTAAAAGAGATGACATTGTCTTGTCAATATCGTCTTTTTGTTTTTTTTACAGTTTTTCGATTATTTTAAACACTGAAATTCACGGAAAAATGTCGTTAAGTATTTTCTCACGTATAGTTAATTTTATTTTTTTCCTTATAATATTATTCTTCATAATAACAAAGAGAACAAAATTAATTTTTTAAGGAATAATTTGTGTTTTCTTTATAACATGAGAAGTATGTTGTTATTGTACCTTCCTTGTAAGAAAACAGAAAATAAATGTAAATTTTTGCCTTGCTAATTTTCAAAAATTACGATTCAGAAATTTGCGCATTGGAAAAAAATTAAATAAAAATTTTATTTAATATTATTCAGTATGTGTCAATATTGATATATTGCTATAGTGTCAATATTATTCGTCTTATCAAACATTGATATTAAAAAATAATTATTTACACATGGCTATTTAAAAAAATGTATGTTGAATTTTACTAGCTTGTTAAAAATGTAAAACAAAAAGCAGTTTGATATTTAAACTGGTTAATTTTGTTCAGGTAATCGTATTTTATAGAGAAGGAAATGATAATAAAATACGATTATCCATCCGGGTTAATGAGGGAGATTCAATTCACTATATAGCTTCAACATAAAATGGATCCTGACCAGTGAAATAATTTGAAAATCCTTTGGAATCATGTAATTCCTTAAAGACGACGGAAAGTAACATAAAATGACAAATTACCATATTCACACAAATTTTGAAATTCTTAATTCTGAATCTTCAACCCTCGAAACTCTAGAATATGAAGTTCATACACTTTTTAGACATTCCATGTAATTTTTACAAAATAATAGTTTAAGTTAATATTTTTTTTTAATTTCACTACCCCAAAATCTTTCTCGAGATGGTAAAAAAAAAATTGTGTAACACGTTGTCGTGGTAACTATGATTAACAAAATATGTTTGGTGTATTTTGTCTTCCCCAAGATCATAATGAGCTAAAACGATCGTTAAAGGCAATATCTCGAAACAACAGCACTGACAAACCAAATACTGTTATTTGTGAAAGACATTTTCCACCTGATTACGAAACAGTGGTTATTACAAGAAAAGCATAACCCAGAAATCCACAATCAATATTTGATCATTTGCCATAAGTATATTATCTAGTCCTCAACCAAATCCAACAAACAAAAAGCTTCTATGCGAAATGTGCAAAATGATGAGTTGGAACAGTGTCTAGAAAAAGACAAAAACCTCAGTTTTGAAAAATTGTATCAGAATAATGATCAACAGAATTTTGTATCAGCAGTTACATGCTGTTCATCCAATCTGCTGATTTTCTTACTGGAAGAATTCCAATTTTTTTTTAATTAACATTTTTGAAAATTTGAGATTTGAATGTTACCATGCTGTTATATATAGATCATTTTTTCTCTTTTAAAAAGTCAAATATCAATGTTTCAGTACTGGCAACAAATCAATGAAGCAATTCCTTATTTAAAAATTGATAAGAAAAAAAATTTAAAACAGCATATTAATCATTATTTACATTATTCGGACCATTATCCCTTATCTTTGTCGTTGTACGTTCCGGCCTGGCTTTCAGGTGGTTGAATAATGATCCGAACCCTTTTATTTTTCCAAAACTGGGGTAGACTGTTCTAGTTCCACGTGCCATGTTTAATGGCTGTCAGTTATCTCCTGTTAATTTTCCCTCTGAAAGTTCTCCACTGTCTTAGCCGGGTATTGAACTCACACTCTTTGGGTTATGTCACTGGATCTAACCAACACCTTTATCCACTGTGCCATGTGTCCCTGAGGAAGCGAAATAAAGGGTTCGGTTCGACATTCCAACTACCTGAAGAAGGCCGGAGCGTACAACGGCCGAAACGTTGTGATAAATATGGCAACAAAGGTGAAGACAATAGTCCGAATGATGTAAATAATGTACATAATACCTCATCTCAGAAATATAGACAGCATATTAATCTCACCACAAAGGATTAAGACAAAACATTATAATTTTGATATTCTTATCAGGATATCTGAATGCTTTGTTATATCTCTGCCATATAACATTCTTCAAGATGATGCTAAGTTACGCTGTGTGAGATTATTACCAGCTGTGATATCAGAAGTTTCAAAATTAGATGACTTTAATTTTCTTGGTGATATTTTAGTCAAATCTCTGAAAATCAGAAAGAAATTGTATTCTTTTAGTTGGAATGTTTCCCAAAGTTTATCTAGAATATCATGGAGTAAACTTATTTGTTTCAACTGAAAATTTCGAGGGATTAGCAAAATCAGTAGTTGGAATCATGATAAAATGTTTAAATGGTGGACCAATAATTTTATTTAAAATGATCCCAGTTGCAAAATTGGAGACAAGTTTTTTTATATGAAAAAAAAATTGTATATATTGTTGATTTAGGAACTATCAATCTTTTTATCCAAAAATTTGATATAATAATTTTAATATAATATAATTTTAATAAGCATTGGATAAATTAAAAGGGCTTGAACTCCACGTTTTGTTAAAAATATTCGGAATCATTGGATTACTGAACCTACTTCTGAATTATTATTTTATTCTGAAGGTAAAAAGATGAGAAATTGTAGAAGGTTTTTTTGAGTAGGAAACAACTCAATTCGTTAAGGTGTTGACACTAACTGATGTCGCAGTTTACCCAAAACCTGTTTAATGGCAAAATGATTCCCATTGTTTAATTTTTTTTAACTGTATCTGTTATTAAAACAAGCATTATTAACAGGGGAGGATATTGCAGAAGCAGATAATTTAATTGAAAGAGTTAAAATATTGGAAAATTGTCTGTGTCAACGAAATATATGGTGATACTAAGAAAAATGGTCCACTGAAAAAGGTGATATCAGATTTAGATGATGAACTTCTGTTACTTCTTTCTAATTATGGAAAAATGATAAAAAGAATAGAAGGAAATCAAGGAAAAAGAATGAAATCATGAACCAGAAAAACTAGTTTAGCCATTAAACATACAGGCAATGGCTCATTACATTTGCGATATTAGCTAAAAATGTCTAATTTATTATGAATAAACTGAATCTTGTATATTTACTTATTTTATGGTGTCTTGCATTTATGAAATAAGTCAATAATTGTAAAATATTCTCAGTAATTGTTATTTAGTAGTAATTTAGATTCCACATGTCCGCTCCCAGTCATACCCTAGTCGCATGTTCCCCAGAGCTGCTATCAAGATCGCCTAGCAAACACACGCTTAATATGAGGTAAACTGTAAAAAACCAAAACAGATATTCGACAAAATTGACTTTCTCCCTTCTCATTGTATTGTATATATATATATATATATATATATATATATATATATATATGTTCAGTACAGAGAGAAAAAAAACAACATAAAAGCTGTTATTGAATAAATCCGCCCTCAGATACTTAAGTGACCTTATATGTGCTTGATACCCAGATCTAGAGGTACTCTTTCATATTGGCATCGGAGGATTTATCTTCATAAGAATCAGATCAGATTTGGAGTATTGCCGCCATGACTGAGCTAGCGCTGCACAATCTTCTATTTCCAGCCGTGACAGATTTCAAAACTGTTTACACTGCCTCATGCGAGATGACTTATTTTCCTTCACTCTAAAATATTTTGGGGACTTTAAATAAACAGCAAAGCCGTAAAAAAACAAACAAATAATCCCCTACATCGGTTCATAGTTCACTATCATGCAGGAGGACTGGCATTGCTTTCACTTTGTCGTGTAAATGTCAAATTATCTCAAACCCCACTCTCGTTATGCAAAAAAAAAACAATCAATCAATACTACAGGACACTTTGATACAACGTTGTAAGCTGATTCTATCGTATTTCAATGGTAAATGTTCCGACGGGCTATATTCATTAGTGTCACAAGCTCAGAACTGAATCAATCTCATTTCCTACATATTCATTTGGTAAGAAGGGCATTCCACTCCAAACGAAATGTTACTGAGAGGAAGAGACATGCTTTAGAATTCTATAATTTAACTTTGTAAAGGTTAAGTTTATAAAAAATAATATGACGGATATATAAAGACTTGTAAGACATATTTTTTAAAGCAACCCAAAGCAAGGCAGGAGTGCCACTAGCATTCAAGGGGTTACAGAGGATTGAGTAAAGAGGCATGCTTGAGGAAAGGATACAGAGAAGGACGGGGAACAATATCAATGTATCAGATGTCGATCGACATTACATTTGAATATTTGAAGATTATAATCATCGGGCAAGCAAGTAAGGGGAAGGGAGTTTCACAGACGGGAAGTGCGAGAGAAGATGCTGTTGAGTAGAGGAGATGTTTACATTTAACTGTTTTGACAGTGAATGGGTGTGACCGAGATGCCAGCCTGGTAGGTCGCTTAAATTTATGCAGTCTGGGAACCAGCGAAAGTAGAACAGTTGCCGAAAATACTTTCCTTAGACAGAGGGAAGCCACGTGTCTCTGGGATAGGGCCAGATCAGACCTATGATATTGCATATTCCTCTCTGGATTTTGTCCTCATAATATTTACTTCTTCCTTTAAGTTCATGTCACACAACTCATTCAATAACTCTATATTTTGAGTGGATTGTATTGGCTGAATTTTAGTAAAAAAAAAGAAATATTTACGATAATAGTTTTCAACGAATCTTTAGTATTGTGGAATGTCTGGTTGGTCTTCCTCTTGAGGACGCTTCAACTCTAATAGTACTGGACATTCAAATCAGGAACGAACGGAAACACAGCAACGTACCTTTTGGAAATTATCCATCCGCCATTCTACCTTTCTTTCATTTTTTTTTTCGACATACCGCCCTTTTCTTTTAGTTTCCCCCTTCTTTACTTTCTCTCTTTCCCAACTCCGTCTCTTTCTCTCCGTTCCCCTCCTTCACTTTTTGTCCTTTCCCTCTCCGTCTCTTTCTCTCTGTTCCCCCTCCTTTGCTTTTTGTTTTTACCCAATCCCTCCATTCTTCCATTCCTCCTTCACATTCTGTATTTGCAACTCCGTCTCTTTCTCCCGCCCCCCTCCTTCAGCTTTTGTCCTTTCCCCACCTCTTTTCTCTGTTCCCTCCTTTGCTTTTTTGTTTTACCCACTCTCTCATTCTCTCCGTTCCCCTTCCTTCACATTCTGTATTTATATAACTCCGTCTCTTTTCTGCCCGTCACCCTCCTTCAACGTTTGTCTTTTCCCACTCCCTCTCATTCTCTCCGTTCACCTTCCTTTTTACCTTTTCTCTTTCCCTCAATCCGTTTCTTCATCTCCTTCCTCTTCCTTCACTTTTTGCCTCCCCCCTGTCGGTTTCCTGTCTTTCCGTTCCTACCTTCCTTTTTCTCTTTCCCCACTCAGTCTCTTTTCCTCTGTCTTGCCGATCTTCACTTTTTTCTCTTTACCCAATCCGTCTCTTTCTCTCCGCCCCTCGTCTTTTATTTTTTCTCTTTCCCCACTCCTTCTCTTGATATTTTTGTCTTACCTTCCATGTATGCGCATTTTGTTTCTTTTCACAATTGGCGAAGCGAAACAGAGAAATTAGATGTAGTGAAATTTGTTTTTTTTTTCATTTACTGCTTCATCCGCTTCTGCGTTTCAACCCTATTTCGCTACGACGATGGCTAAAAATTTTATGGATTCAATACAATTAATTAAAAAAAAAACAAAAAAAAATTCTCGTGATACATGACATATTCGGCGAGATAAATGTTTGAACAGGATCTTATCAGATCAACATTGGAATCATCCTAAATATTTAGCAAATTATATCACTGTTTGATGATAGCTGTCGATCATTTGTATCATTTATTTGGCTTTCGGAAACACTGTATATTCCCTTCATTTGACAAAATCTTGCGATCCATTTTGAATGTTCAACCTGGCAACGTAGCTACTAATGTGAAATTCTGAAACTTCATATACCAGACACCCCTTTTATATCTACGCATGAAATGGACAAAGTCCGACATTTATTTTAAGACATTTTTTTTATGTTTATACGTTCTTTTTTTCTATGTGTGACGTAATTTGTTTACATTTGATACGGATCGAGCAGATATGAAAGTACGAGAGAAAATCATGGAAAATTGTAGTTTAAAAACAGTAAAATCGACCTTATTAACCGAAACTTCTTCTGTGGCTAAATCGGTAAAGCACGTCACACTATATGACGGTTACATGATACTATGTTACTATATAGGATACATGTTCGATTCCTGTCAGAGGACGCATATTTTTCTATGAAAATTTCTCGTACATTCAGGCCGGTAAATGTCGTTAAACTGTTTATTATAAACAGAACATTTACTTAAATATTTGTATCTATAAAAAGAACATATAAACATCAAAAATGTCTTTATATAACTTTTTGTTTCGATTGTATATTTAGTACGCCTTTTTTCTTGCATTGTGGATGTAATGATATGTGTATTGTAGGTTTTTGAATGTGTTTTCTATGTATGTTTCTTCTTTAGGTAAATATTGGGGACTGCAGATTCTTAATGCATATAGAAACCTATAATAATTCCAGATTTAATTTTTAGAAGAATGGTTTGAGTAGAAACTGATCAGATCATTTTTGTTTGTAGCCTTTCTGTAAACGTCAAAATTGAGTTCATTTTTATTTTATGTAATATGATGTCTACGAACGGAAGAGTGTAGTTGGTTTCAATTTCAAAAGTGAAGTCTATTGTATTTATCCAAATATTAATCTACGCCCAGGCCTTTTCCCTATTTCACCTTTCCTAATAGAATATATATATATATATATATATATATATATATATATATATATATATATATATATATATATATAAAAGAGATTATTCATATTCCAACGAGAGAAAAGTGTATATACTAAAGAAAGAAAGATAATTTTTGATAATGTGGATTTTTTTCAAACATTATTCTGCATATTTCCTACACGGGTTTCGGGTCTTGTGAACTTCCTCAGGCGAATAATGTTTAGTTCATCATATTATTTAAAAGAATTAATTTTTCTTCCTATGTTACATCTTTTAACCATTGTCTTTAGTGAGTAGTAGTAGACATCTGAATCCTTCTTGGACTGTCCGAATGAGGTGTAATGGAATAATTAAATTTGGTCAGAGAAAGACAAAGAGAGGTGGATATATTTGTTCTTTTCTTTTTATGTCCCCTTCTATATGTTTGTCTCTTTAATATATATATATATATATGTGTGTGTGTGTGTGTGTTACATTACATATGTGTGTGTGTGTTACATTACATATGTAATTTACATTACCTCAAATTTTATTTTTAGTAGATACCAGTATTTGAGTAGATGCTACCTTTTTTTTTTCTGAAGCAGTCACTGGCCTGCGTACTTGAGTAAACTTAATAAGGACATTGTGCCCTTCGGGAGGATTTGAACCAGCATCAACTTTTGTAAGAAAAGCTATTGTCTCATCCGGTGTGCTTTGACTACTCGGCTACGGAGATCTTCATAGTCATGTAAGCTTCTATTTCCTGCTACATCTGAGATAATGCTACTGCTATGTATTAAGAGATCCTTGATAGAACCTAAAGAATAATCTGCAGTGTCATTGGTACTAACATAGCCTCTTGGCTTCAGGCACTTTTCCCACACCCATAACGTGTCTTTCCTTTAATTTTTTCATACGTAATTGTTCCGATGAACTTTCAACTATGCTATCTAGACTTTATGAATTTAAGCGCAGTACTAGATTAGCGGAAAGGTCTCATTTTACAGTTGAAATGTTTAGATACAAGCAACCGTATGTTCTACGCTAACAGTGAAATTTGAAAAAAAAAACATCATTGTATATAATCATATAACATTCGGACAATATTCTTTTTTTTTACATTAGAACCTGACCTAAGTATCCCGCGTATACCAAAATGACAAAATTAAAAGGACAAAACTCTTAACGAACAATAAAAGTCTTCCGGACTGAACCGCAGTACCACCTGAATCAGAACAGCTTCTCCCTGCACAGTCTAGTCTTAGTATGACCATGCAGAGATGCCACTTCTAATAGCAGGAATACAAATTCATAAAACATTTTGCAAGCATATGTGTGCATTAAAATTATCTTACCCTTTTGAAGAGCCAACCACTAGCCTTACCAGTGATCTTATTAATATCTATCTATCTATCTATCTATCTATCTATCTATCTATCTATCTATCTATCTATCTATCTATCTCAGTCTGTTCATTATGTATCTTGGGCTGTTCATTATCTATCTATCTATCTATCTATCTATCTATCTATCTATCTATCTATCTATCTCAGTCTGTTCATTATCTATCTTGATTTGTTCATTTATTCATTATCTACCTATTCATTCATTCTCACTTTGTTCATATCTACCTGTCCATCTCTCTCTCTCTCTCTCTCTCTGTCTATATATATATATATATATATATATATATATATATATATATATATATATATATATATCAGTAGGTTCATCTATAGATTTGTCTACATCACATGGTGATTGTCGAACGATTAATATAATTTTCTATTCATTCTTATATTTATCCCTACATTTTATTTGTTCTATGGGGTTGTCTGGAAAGTTCATGTCAAATTTTAAGGGAAATTAAAACATAAAACAAAATTATGCCTTTGCATATTTATTCAACTAAATATGAACCATTTTGTTGCACAAGCTTTCTCCATATTTCCTTTATCTTCCTTCCATCTTCCCATAATTTCGGTGGTTCTCGGCAAAGAACTCAACTCGTCAAGTTTGACAGTACCTAATTAAATAAAAATTCAAAGGAGCAATGTCTGGTGAATATGGCAGCTGGGGTCAACACATTCCAGTTAAGCTGCAACAATTTTTGCCGGGTCGCTAAAGAAACGTGAGGTTTGACATTATCCTGATAGAAAACAACACTTTTCCAGTTTGCCAATTCTGGGCGATTTTTTTCTGTAATTTCTGCCTTTTACTTCGTTCAGTTGCGAGCAGTACTTTTCAGAATCAATTGACTGATTACTTGGCAGAAACTCATAATACAGGTTTTCTTTACAGTCACACCAGATGCAGAGAATGACTTTCCCCAGGATAAAGACCTGCTTTTGAAGTGGCTAAAGTTGGCTCATGTCCCTTACACAAGGATCTTTTTTACCAAACATTGTTGTAAATGATCCATTCCCCATCACCCGTCACAATTTTCTTAAAATAAAGGGTGAATTTTCATTGCGTTTATACAGTAAATCACAGATGAAATACGACCGAAAAGATTTTTTTTTTTAACTAACATCATGCGATACTCAAACATCGTAACGATTTGAATACCCAAACCGCAATAAGTGCTCATGGATGCTGGATTTTTTTTTTAATAAATTTAGTGTTTCTACTAATTCACCCGCTGTGTAATTCTCAATCAATGTCTTGATTTGGTCGTCATTTCTAGTGTTGGGTCTGCCTGAGCGTTCTTCATCAATAAAGCTACAATCGATTACTCTAAGCTTATCGAACCACTTCTGTACAGTTTAGTCAGCTAAAGCAAAAGATATATGCTGTGTACAATGAAGAAACTGCATACATCACATATCTTTTTTGTTGCTTGCGAGGCGTTTTTTTTTTTTCGGTAACGGTCTCTGAAATGCACCTTGTAATCTTTTATTTTCATAGGGATGCAACATTAACACGAATTAAGTAATTTTAAACATTCTTTCTCAAGACGTAGTTTGAAGTCTGCTCAAATTGGAAAGGTAAGCATATTATATCTGTAGATAAATTTTACGTGTCTTAACGTCTTGGAATATAAACGATTAAAAATCGACATGAACTTACCGGACAATCCAGTAGTTTGCTAACATCTATCTATCTATCTATCTATCTATCTATCTATCTATCTATCTGTTATGGTCCAAGTTCCTTGTACCACGGTGATGGTCCAAGGTTAGAACCAATGAAAGAATAACACGAACACAGGTATGGAATACACAGATATATGTTGTGAGACCGTAACATACCTACAACATGGACTCTTCCAGGACTATATAAAGTATGCGATATAACACTTTAGGAGAAGAGAGGAAAGAGAGAGAGAGAGAGAGAGAGAGAGAGAGAGAGATAGTATTCACTACTCGTAGTATCAATGCGCACGACTACCAATATTGGACACTAGCACATAAAAAGCCCCGCTTACACTTACACTATCTTTGTAACCTTTTTGTTTAATATATCTTTCTTACCTCTAATCCGTGTTCCGTATTTTCCTTCCGTGGTCCCAAATTTGGGCCCACATCAATATATTACAACAGAAATATAATACAAAGAAGTAGAAGTATTAGTAATAACTTGGTTAGATTTGGTTAGAGTGAACTATGTTGTCTCGACAAGTATCACTATTCCAATGTCCTTACAATATGCTCTCAATTATCTCTCCTCGTCTTACAATATATGCTCATGCCTCTTGAGAGGCGCAGTATTTATAATGTCAAGAATAGTCCATTATTATTATGGGTAAGTTCCCATAACACTATCTGTCTATCTTTTCTTTGTCTCCGTACAAATTTATTCATTAAAAAAAAACATAGCAAGCGTTGTCATGTCGTGTGGCACCATGCATCCAGGCAGAGAAAGAAAGGCAAAAAGGGAAAAGGAAAGAAAAAAAGAAAGGAAGGGAAAAAGTAATGCGAGACGGATCATAGGTGATAAGCGAACACACACCCACGGCTTAAGAGGCAATAAAAAAAAAAAGGGTTATTTTGGATAAGTGGCAATGGCGAAAGAGTGTCATTACAATGACAATGAGATTGAGGGTAGGGAAGTGTTATCTAAGGATATGGAAAACAAACTATTAGTACGAGAAGGCATCTTATTATCAAAACACAGACCACCGGCCAAGGGAAAAATTCAAGCGAAAATGTTATTTCGATAAGTGACGACAAGAAACAGGCCACTAAAAAAGACTTTGGACAGATATGAAAATTAAAGGCCACCTGCGAGCAATCATTGACCGATTTTCCTACTTGGCCTGCGCGAATGGAATTGTGTTATCAAGAAATGTTCGCCAAAGAAAGTCCACTTGAAAACGTTAGATTTTGACAATTGACAAAACACAGATGTAGCTACGGAGCCTTAGCTAGATATGGAAAATTAAAATCCCACACAAGCAGTCTCACTAACTAAACTCTTTTCGACAAAACAAACTTTTGCCCTGCGATAATAAAATTTTGTTATCAGACACATGAACCGAAGGAAAATGAATGGAATAAGAAATGTTTTTTTTTCTTCCTTGGAGACGTCAGACCGACTTAAAACTTGGAGAAAATTCTTTTCTGGGGCCATGTCATCTGATGAATTAGCGATAAACTGCTTGACAAACGCCACGTGTTGAACAAAGAGTTGTCATATTATCCGTTCATGATAACGGCGATTTGAAAGGAAGAAAAAAAGGAAAGAGAAGGGATAATTAATCTTTTAGTTAAGCAAGATATTTTTTCCCGAAACAAAGCCGCGGGTTGTTCACGCCCGACTAAGACGTCATTGGTCAAGTGGTGATCACATGACGCACGAAGGAGGAGGAAAGATACCGACCAAGACCTCATTGGCCGAGAGGATCACGTGACGCACGAAGAAGGCTGTCGACGCCCCCATCCAGAGTATAAGTATGAGAAGCCGCTACGAAGAAGGGGGGGGCAGTTCACGCCCCAGAAGCATGGTGAGAAAGTGGAGTGAAAAAAGTTACCAAAATGGAAAAGAGCGGAAAATCCCTAACCAGAAATAAAAGAGGTGGATATGTATTTAGAATTATCGAGGAACTCCCCGACGCCAACAGACCCAACCCGGTTTTTGTCGGCGTCAATAAAAGCCAGGCCCCAACAGGCAGAAATCAGTTCGCGCCCTTACGGCAGAGATGAGTGTCCAGCAGTTCGCACCCTGACGACTGAGATGAGTGTCCAGAAAGTTCGAGCGCTCACGGCAGAGATGAGTGCCCAGAAAGTTCGAGCTCCAGTTTCCAGATAGCTGACCAAGATTCACGCAAAATTTTGGACTCCTTTTCAGCCAAGAACAATTATTTTGAAGAGCGACTTAGGACCAGACCACCGAAATAAGTTTTTCGACTTTCGTCCAGAGACACACCGAAACACAAATTTCTTAGAGAGCAAACAACTTAAAGCGTTAAAACTTGCCTAGCGAAAACGACGTGTCACAATCCACAGAACCGGTCGGGAGATAGATGCAGTCCTGTGTATCGAACAACTAGACATAAAGTTTGTTACCTTTTCTTTGATACTTTGAACTTTCTGAGTTTTCATTTTTTTCTTTTATGCATATTTGTGTTTATCACCCCGTTGAACTCAATTTGCATTACGGCCCCAACCACTCGTCTGTCTAAGATCAATTCACAACGTGGGTAGGCAGACTGAGATCAGTGCAGTTACCTTGGTAACCAGGCGTTGGAAGCGAGTTAGGAACGGCGAGGCGATATCAAATCTAACCAGATTCCCACCCGAATCACCAAAAGGTTAGAACGTCACATTTAAAAGCCGCGACCGATACCAAGTCGGTTGGTCGTCACAGGACGAGACAACACGACTGACGCGACAGGCGGACGTCACGTTTGGAACAGCGACACCCGGACGGAGCAGCGAGAGCGAACAGCTGGCGCCGCGGCGAAGACGTCACAATTGGTGCTGTTTAGGGACGTCACAACTGGTGTCGTGGACCGATAGGACCCTGAACGGCCACGTCACAACTGGCGCCGTGGTAGATCAGGATAGAACGTCACAGTTGGCGCTGCGACCGGGGGACGACGTCACAGTCGTACAAATAACCAACTGAATCTATTTCACTTTATTTATAATAACAAAAGCAACTGACATTTCTAAATCATATAAATGAAGAAAGAGTGCTTGTTGAAATGGTACAAAGTGAAGCAGGGACTAAACTACTTAACGAGCTTGTTTAGATGGTTGGCAGAAGGATTAGGGAATACAGGAAAAAGGACAAAACCTGCTAAGAGCTACGAAGGACAGGAAATTGAGAGGAGCCATGATCGCCCAAGAAGAAAAAAAAAGAGGAAGAATCTTTTGAATGACAATATGGCTAAATATTCACCTCAGCTTCATTTCGTCGAATGTTCTGCCCATTGTGTCATCCCAGCCGCCATACTTCTTCATTGGAATGAAATTGCCATGTCCGCATTAATAGAAACATCTGAACATCTCCGTCATTATATCTATTTATCTCAGACTGCTCTATTCCATTAGGAGAACTACGCATGAGTTCTATGCTTATAATTAATCTATTTCTTAAACTCGTAATAGAGAATTCTGAATTCACTTCGTACTAATCTGAACCTCATTAAGGATTGCAATGTAAACAAAAATAAATAAAGATCGTTTCGGAAGCAAAGACGGCGAGATCGTATCAAAGGTTTATATTTCAAGCAGTTAAGTTAAAAACGGAATCAGTATATATATATATATATATATATATATATATATATATATATATATATTGTTATGCTGTGACAAACGAAATTTTTTTTTTCGTTCGAATCGCTCGTCGCCACTGTTATGGTCCGGTTCTTTGTACCACGGTGATAGTCCAAGGTAAAATCAATAAAGAAGAACTCGAATACGGATATGGAATAACACAGATATATTACAAACAGGAATATATACAGAGAAGTAGAAAGTGTTAGTAGGAACAATCAGGTTTAGTAGTAATTGTCTGAACGCGACTCTGTTTCGGACTGCCTCTGACTCGACTGACTGATTCGCTCCCTCTGACTGACTGACAGACACCTGACGGACTTCTGACGGACTTCTGACTGAACTCCAGACTTCAGACTGAACTCCTTGCTTCCTTTTGAGGCGCAGTATTTATTACGTATGGAATAGTCCATTATGTTGTTATGGGTAAGGTCCCATAACATTGATGTCCGAGGAAAAATTGGAAATAAAAAAAGAAAGAACCAAGAACATAACATTGTACGAATCCTCTCGTCAAAGTGCTTGAGCTCCAAGTCCAAAGAAAAAAACCCAAAACGAATAAAAGACTAAACGTAAAGTGCTCAATACACTAAGTAGAGCAAAAGCTAAAATAATCCTAAGGAGCCAGGCAAACCTACCTAGGTTTCACCTAAATGGATCTTCAGGGTAAAACTAGCTAAAAAGGAACAATAATGGAACAATATTTATTGATAAAACCAAATAAAACCATGACCACGTGACAAAAAAAAACAACATGTTACTCTAATAACCATTTTTTTTTTTTATGTCAGCAGATTTTTGTTTTAATAAATTTTTGGGTTATATATGAGTAGCGATAGATAGTTTTACCCTGAAGATCCGTTTAGGTACGCTTGTCTGGCTCCTTAGGATTATCTTATTTTATATATATATATATATATATATATATATATATATATTGTTATGGAGTGGTTTCACAGTGGAGGCTTGTAATTGTACTAAGTCGGTCCTAAAATAGGTTCGAGGTACAAAACGTTAGGAACTTGATATAATAGGTAATGACGCAGAAAAATTTAATTGTGGTGGCTGATACTAATTAATATCCGACTAACGGTCGTCCGGCATCGACTGACTGACCGAACCACTGAGCAACTCCCTGCTACTCCTACTTATTATAGGTGGGAGAGTCTATTAACTATAGAATAGGTGAGTTCTAACACACACACACACACACACACACACACACACACACACACACATATATATATATATATATATATATATATATATATATATATATATATATATATATGCATGTTTCATTAAAAACGACAGTACTTACAAAACAAAACGATGCATGAAGTTATATATTTTAAATAATTAAAAAAAAGTCTTTCCTGGACCTTTTTTAGTTTTATTCCCAGCTAATAGATTGTATTTAATATTTCCAATAAGCGAAATAATTTACTTTATTTCAAACGAAATTAATTGAAAT